CCCATTTGGTTTGGGTGGAGTATCAAGGCAGTGTAAACACCAGCAGTATCATCAACACCCCGGTTCCTTGTTAAAAACAAACAAGGAAAATAAAAATTCCGTCTTTCAACACATGCAGAGATTTGATCCGACGGCTCTAGGCAGGATCCATTCAGTTTGCTGCCTGCAGAACCAGGTGGATCCTTCGGGGACTTGATGTCTTCAGCCCAGCCTGGTGCAGCAGCAGCCCGCAGACAGACACCCCACATACAGCTAGAACCCTTAGAAGGGTGGCGGAGAGGGTAGGAAAGCGGAGGAGAGGTGGGGGGCGAGAGGGGGCGGGGAAGGTGTTTGACCCAGAGTGCAACAGACCCGGATATGTCCACTCACCACTTCCAGGTCCTGGGACACCCTCCGCTTCCGCAGCTCCTCCATCCGCTCGCACACGTCCGAGAAGCAGGTATTATAATAGTCTGCATACTGCTGGGCCAAGTCGTCGATGTTTCCCAGCGAGCCGTCCTGCAGGTGGAGAGGAAGAAGTAAGGTAGTCAGTCCACTCTGGAAGCTCTCTCTCTATCCCTGAGGCAGAGTTTACAGAATGAGAGACCCATTCAGACTCCTGGCCGTGATGGTGTGCGTTGGGACCATGCACCACACCAAAAAAATTCCCGTCCCTAAGTCAATTCCAGACTCACAGTGACCCCACAGCCCTGGTGGGTTTCTGAGGCTGTACCTCTTTCTGGAAACAGAAAGCCTCCTCTTTGTCCCTCACAGAGGCTGCTTGTTTTGAACGGCTGACCTTGAAGTTAGCAGCCCAACACAAACCCATTGTGCACCAGGTTCCTCTGTGAGTTCTACAGGGCTTTTGCTTTTCAAAATAGTTTTGTAGGCCCCCACCACCACCACCACATCCCCCTGCCATGCCCATAGATAATTATTAATCCAGTGACGGTCTCTATAGATTTCTCTATTCTGGATCTCATATGCAGAAAAATAAAACATGCACAGGAGACAAATGAGAAACAACCCAATAACAACAACAAAACAGAGAAACCTCAATCTCAAAGGAAGTAGAAAATATGTAAAATAGAAACAACTTCTAAATGGCGCAAAAGGGAGATCAAGTGATAAGGTGTTGCGTTTTCACCTAACTACATCCTTCCTAATCGCCTTTACAATTCTCTCTGTCTGACAGCAAGGCTAGTCGCATCCTTGGGCTATGGTCAGAGGAGACTCACCCGAGGCTTGATACACGAGGGGACGTGGTAAATGGATTACGAGCTTTCACTGTCATCCATAGCCGTTCAGAACCTAAGCGCTGATGCTCGGGGGCAGTCAATGCTCATGGAAGCAGCAGTCAAGAGATCAAATGACACATTTCATTAGGAAAATCTGCTACAAGATGTTTTGACAGTGTTGAAAAGCAAGGATGTTACTTTGAGGACTAAGATATGCCTGGCTCAAGTCATGGTATTTTCAATTGCCTCGTGTGCAATGAACGAGGAAGACCAAAGAAAACTTGATGCAGTCGAGTTATGGTGCTGATGAAGAATATAGAAAAGTAATGTATGAACCGCCAAAAAAGCCAACAGATCCGTCTTGAAAGGACAGCTAGACTGCGCCTGAGAGGCGAGGGTGATAAGATTTTGCCTCATGTGCTTTGGACAAGGTTGTCAGGAGAGACAGGCCCGGGAGAAGGCCATCATGCTTGGTCAAGAGGAGGGGCGGTGAAAAAGAGGAAGGCCTTTGATGAGGTGGACTGACATCGTGGCTCCAACAACGAGCCCAAATATGAGAACAGTTGTGAGGGTGGCACAGCACCAGGTGATGTTTCGCTCTGTTACACACATGGTCGCTATAAGCTGGAACCAACTCGATTGCACCAAACTACAGCAACCACCATCATTCCCTCCTTCAGATTTGGATTTTATTTATAATCCATGGATCACAGGCTGGTGTGCTCCTTCCATGTGCACTTAGTTGAGGCATCCATAGGATTTTCAGAGGCTGAGTTTTTCTAAGCCTTATCAGAAAACCAGGAAGGTATGGCTTTCAGGCAGGTCATGGGCCCGGCTTCCTTGTTTGTTAGCACTGCATCTTCGGGCAGTCAGTCAACTTCTTTGCTACCGTTTGCCCATCTATACTGTCAGGAAGACAACAGGTTGTCTCTGAGGGCCTGAGAACTGCAGGACCGCCACATAAAATGAAACACTACGTCCCACGGCCAAGTCTGTCCACACTGAATTGTGACCATTTGCGCCAGTTATGATTGTGGAAGAGTCCCTGGGTGGTGGAAAAGCTAAGGCCCTGGAAGTCTGAGTCTGCCGGAGGAGGCGCAGAAGAAAGGCCTGGCAACTCGGGGCAGAGAGTGAGTCTTCGGAAGAAGCTCTTTCTGCCGTGCATGGGTTCTTTATGAGTCAAAACTGAGCGGATGGCGCCAAACATAAAGAGCAATACCTCACAGTGAAGAACGTTGCATTAAAACACAGGGGCTTCAAAAAGTCTGCAGAAAAGTGACATTATCTTTCCATTGCAGTTCTCCATAAACTTTCTGAAGCCCCCTCGTATAGGTGATCACTTGGAGCTCGGCCAGCTCCTGGCACACCCTAGCTCATGGTGAGTGCTTGAAACTATTCAGCTAACAGTCACCACAGGCTTACATGTCCTGCTACAGCCCCCTTCTAGGAGAGTCCCATCCTAAATGCACGTCTGGTCACACACACACACACACACACACACACACACACACACACACACCACATGCGCGCGCAGGTGGCCCCTTAACTCGTTGCTCTTGAGTTTATTCCAATCCAAGGCCACCCCATGTGGGTCGAGTCCTTGGAGAAGGACATCTTGCTTGGTCAAGTCAAGGGGCTGCATGGGGTGCTTGATGGTTGTGCTTCCAAGGACCCTCCAGGTGAACTTGAACCTTTAGCAACTGAGCAAGTAAATCCTCTACACCCTCCAGGCCTGGGCACCCACAGTGATGGCACGGTGCTGTGCACATTTGGAAAGAGAAGAGATTTCTTCCATCAATCATGGAATTGGTGGGGTAAGGAGGGTGGCAAGGAAAACTCCCCTTTTAATCTCTCGCCATGTCCTCTCTGAGTTAGGAATAAGTGATTTTGCCGGGAATATCAAAAGAAAACTCGGAGGCAGCTGAAAACATTGTGCACACAGCTTCCACTGGACAGACTGCCCACTAGCACTAATGTGAGCACACACCACCCACAGCCACGGCTGCCGCCGATGATAAAGCAGCCGGTTTCTCCAGAAGCCTTTTTCTGCCGAAGCCCTCCAGCCTCCTTCCGAAGGCCTGAGTCAGCGACAGTGAAGAGCTCGCCCTCACTTCTGCATTCCTGAGTTTGCACCAATGGGAAGAGAGAAACCGAAATTGAAAGGGCTTTTAAAAAAAAAGTTTAAGATGTTTCCCACCAGTAAAAGGACCTCCATTGGCGATCATTAACTCTGAGGCCCTGAGAAGAGCAAGGGACGAGAGGACTCTTCTGAAGGCCGTAAGATCTTTGAACGTCGGAACATGTCTGGGCAGCCGCCTCCTCTCAGAGCTGTCTGGCAGGCTGAGCTGGCAGGCGTGACGGAGACCGTGGGCCCCAGCTCCGCCTGCCCCACGCTGGCTGTCAGGTGGCGGTGCTGTTCCATGCCGTCCAGTCTGCTCTGATGCTTGTGCACACCGGAAGGACACGCTGCCCAGTCCTGGGCCATCCTCACACTTGTTCCTGTGCTTGAGCCCAGCGTTGCAGTCACTGCCCATCCACCTCATCAAAGGCCTTCCTCTCCTTCCCTGCCCCTTGACTTGACCAAGCATGTCCTTCTCCGAGGACTGCTCTCTCCTGACAACAAGTCCAAAACACATGACACGAAGCCCCGACCTCCTTGCTTCTAAGAAGCACTCTGTCCGTACTTCTTCCAAGACAGCTCCGTTTGCCCTTTAAGCCGTCCACAGATAGAATCAAACCTACAGAACTTTCCGTACTCTTCTCCAGCCCACCGTTCAAACGCAGCGATTCTTCCTCATTCAGTGTCCGACTTTCACATCCATATGAGGCCATTGAAAAT